GTTAAAATCATATAAAATAAAAAAAAAAATTTTCTAGGATTTTTCTTATGCATACCATACTTGGTTACACGAATAATATGCCTTCGGTTTAATTTCTATTTCTGTTATACTTGTGTGCTTGTATACGGGCAAATGCGCTCTATTATTGTGCTTTGTTACTTTAGAAAACAAAAGTTGTAGGTTAAGTCAATATTTGCCATATGTGTCGTTAGATTTATTACAAAAAAAATAAAAAGTTCTTTTATATTTTACATTTTATGTAAAAAATAAAGAGAATAATAGTACAGATTTTTTTTTTTTCATAATAGTGGTTTTAGTAATCATACATGTGTGCCTACAGGGTTTTCAACTATGTGGTGAAATAATCGACATAAGGGAGAATAAATATGAAGAAGAAGAAGACTAGATGCTTTATCAAGTTCATGAATAGATTCTATTTTTTTTTTTTTTATTAAAAGAGGATATCACAAGAGGTTTACATTAAAATTTAAATAGGTTTTAATATTAAAGGAAAAAAAATTACGTATGTTTGCATTAGCCAGCCAGTCAGTCTTCTAAAATTTTTGAAATACACACATACCTAATCAAACATGTATAAATCTTATTTTTTTTTGTTTGAAAATAATTTCGAACAATAGAGGAAAAAAAAATTGTGTATACAATAAGGTACGTAATTTGTACAATAAAGGACGAAATGTGTATAAAAAACATCCTTTCTTTTGACAAAAAAACAGCAAAAAAAAAAAGGCAGTAGAAAAAAAAATATTATGTTTGCCTCTTGAACATTTATGAGGTTTTATGAGTTGTTTATAAACTCGTATAATATCTTAAGGAAAATTATTTATAAAATATAATAAAAATAAGGATATAAGGAATAATGTGGAAGAAGGATATTTATTTTTTCTTCAATTGTCTGCGTATAATAATTACTGTATTAATAATAATCAAAGAGTATTAAAATTTATATATGTATACATATATATATATAGAAATAAAGAAGGAGAAAATCCTTGAAAGAATAAGGTTTTAACTTTGAAGGAAAAATTTAAAATAAATAAATTTATTTCACTTGTATTTTTTGAATTTCATTTTGGAAGTAGACAAAATATTACTTCGTATGTAGCTACCCTTAAATATGATAATAGGAAAATTTTATTGCAATAAAAGCTTTTAATTTAAAATTGTAGGCTTGAGGTGCATACCAATTTTACACATAATGAATTTGACACATTTAACACCGTCTTACTGGTAAAACTATGAAAGATAGAGGAAAATGATAATATGTGGTATAGCTTTTGACTGTAATTGTAGCCGATCGAAAAAAAAAAAAGAAAATTTCGAAAAATTTGGAGTTTTGAAAAAAAAAAATCACAAAAAAACAAAAATTCTGACTTGAAGCTATATCTCGAAAACTTCGGCTCATTTCCAATTTATTGTAAGACCGAAAATAAAGAGCAATCAATTGCCTATAAGCCAAGCCAACAATGGTTATTGTATGGTTATATGGTATGGTTCTTTTGTTATCAGTATTTATTTATATGCAGGAAATATCTGGTACTTTTTTTTCAACGGCCTATATATAGTTCGAAAACGAGTGTATCTGCACCCCTCTCACCCATACAATTTTTAGCTGGAGATTTATCAAAGAATTATCCCTAAAATTACATGCCATTTTATTCGAAACAACCTGTATATGCAGTTTCTTCGCTTAACATTCTATTAAGTAATATACCAGAATTATTGCATAAACTTAGGATGAGAACAAAATTGATACAATTATAGGGGGTTTTTCAGTTTATTATAAATTTAAATTAAATGTTTTTTGATGAGTTCATAATTTCAGAGGACTGAGTTGTCGAAAATTTAAATTTTGCTAAGAAGTTAAGAAATTTCAACAATTTGATATGAAAGAAAAATAGAAAATAATTTTCTTCTGAAGAAATGTATTATTTTTATTAATGGCCAGAATTTGTTAAAATTTAAGACTTCATAATAAGTACGAAAAATTCTAAAAGTGAAGTTTCGAAATTTATTTTTAATTTACTCGTTAAAGAAGTTGCTTGGACTAAATCCAAGAATATATTACACATCCTTTAATTATGTTTTCAACAGCGATAAATGTTTTAAATTTCGGTTTCAATTTCAAAAACCTGCATGTCGTTTAGGATATATCGAAATATGACCTATCAGTCATATCTTATTCGAAGTAATTTCATCCATATTTTCAAGAAAATAACCATTCAATCTATAATTCTGATCATTGACTAAAACGGAAGCTCTGACCACATTGATAATAAAATAAATTTCAATTCTATCACCATTGTCGAATCCAAATGCATATAAAAACGAATATTTTTCGATTTTACAATCTAAATAATCATGGTATTTGTCCAGAATATACTGCGTATGAATACCAAAAATTCACGCAACATAGAAGTTAATTAAAAGCTTAACTCTGATTCGAAATTAATGATGGATTTTACATATTAGACTTTGTTTGTAAATATTATTCGTAATTCTATTGTAAATAGAATTACGGTTCTGATACATTTTCAACGTATTGAATTATTTAAAGACCGGAGCCTTGTTTCTTGAACAATAGAGAATAATAAGATGGTTCATTTTGTCTGTTTGTATTGCCAAGCAAATATTTGTTTATTTATTTATTTGTGTTTCTTTAAATGTAATTAAATTTTTAATTAACTTGCATATTTAAATAAATGATATAAAATTAAATTGAATACTCTTCCCAAAATTGGTATATAATAAGGGTAGTACAAGGAAACTACCGACATGTAAAGTAATAACCTGAATGTGTAAAGCAATAACCTGAAATAATAGAACCCTTTTATAGAAACTATAGAAATTAATAACTTTTATGTTTCAAGCTCATCTTTTAGAAAATCATAAAATATTTTTTTTTTTACTTTAATTTTGTAAATTTATTAAAATGAAAGCTTGAATATTAAAATTGAATATTTCTATGAACACTATATTATATATATATATATTCGGCATTATATGTTTGTATATGTATATATATAATGAGTTCCTTTATTATCCTTTTAGATTTTGTTAATTATAACACCATTATCATTTAAATGGGTATGGTAAATGTATTCGTAAATGTGACCTTTATTGTTATTTTCCATATTATGTACTCGTATAATTATACAGAATTTTATTTTTGAGTAGAATTTCCTGTTTTTAATAATATAAAAATTAAATTATTAAAAGTTATTAATTTCTGACGAAAACATTACAGTACGTACATATAGAGTACTTTAGTATAATAATGTGAAGTCATAAAAATTATGAAAATGAAAATTTCAAATCGCATGGACAAAGAAGAATACCCGTATATGATATTTTGAGAAACATAAAATGTTGTTTTATATTCAATTAACTAATGTACCTAAGTGTATAACGGTTAACATATTATATCCTTTAATAAAATAATATTTAAGAAAAGTAATTTTATGTTTCCTTATGGAAATCATTAAAAAAGGTGAATAATACAGACAAAATAATATAGTGCTATGTTGAATAATAAAAGCATAACTCTTCTACATACTCGTATATGATCGATAACATCAAATATAAATTTTGTGCTCTATTTCACATACAGGGTGATTCTGAAATTTATACAACAACATATACCATTTTTGAGGACTTAAATTAAAGCTAAAGCGGCTGGGCAAAATTTTATTTTCATAAAGTTCGAATGCTTGGTATTCCGAAGGTACATAAATTACAGAATTAAGCAGCATTTCTATTTTAAGTTCATTATCAAGCCTTTCTGAAACTGTTTTTTTGAAGTTTCTATCTTTTTCAGCACCGAAGTTATAATCAAAAAAAAAAACCTGTATAAGTAAAAATTTCGTGAGAATTCGTTAAAATCCCTGGAACTCGGAAACCCGTGAGATTTACACATTTCCAATCTTCTAACCGATAGCATATGTTGTTGTATAACTTTCTGAATCACCCTGTATATTGTGCACCTACATTTACATATATATGAACGAAAATTCACAACCGTATGACAATAGTATAACGAAAATGCACTAGTTTCACGACTAGATTTAAGACTTTTGAAAAGTCTGTAGTATAGCCTTTGGTACTTATACTCTATATGGAACTTATCACATGGTTAATACTAATTTATGTGGAATTTTTCACATAGTACCTATTGGTAAGTTTAAAATTCGTCAAATTGCAAAAATCTAAATTAAGGTTTCATTCTTCTCATATACGACAACTCATAGGAAATTGATATTTTCTTATTTCAGAAGTCTTATACATCAAAATAATTTATATTCTTGATTATTGAGGCTAAATAAATTTAAATTTAAATTTTAGTTAATTCTAATATCTTTATATAAATATAATTAAAATAGCTGTACATTTAATCCAGATATTCATGTAAATTTAATAATGTTTAACCCTTAACCGAAATACTCTTGAAAAAAATGATCAGCGCCAATTATTTTTATTCTTTGAGTATTCTTTCGCTAGTACGCAATAAATAAAGTAAAGAGAAATATAAACAAAGCATACATATTTCAATTTAAAAATTTTTTTCGGATGTATTTTTAAACAAAATATATTTTGTCAGTTTTGTTAAATTAGCCTAAAATAAAATTCAAAAATCATAATATTTATTTCACAAATATTACAAGAATCGAGTCAGTTAGGAAAGTAAAAGAAGCATGTAGCAGTTAAGGGTTAAAACTATCATATTCGAGATATTTTCTTCAATAGTTGGAATATTGCGTTTTCTTATATGTACGTTATGTGACATGTCTTTCCTCTAAAGTCTAAATTATTCAGTTGTAGATTAAAAATCTGCATAAAGCAATTTATTTTACTTATAGCCCAACAAATTTATTTTTATTAAACATTAAGTTTGTTTTTCTAAATTTTGTTATTATTAATTAAAACATTTTACTATTTAACAACTAAAATAAATAATTTTTACTTGTTTTCCTCTTCTCTTACAGAAAAGCAATTGAATGGAACAAGATTTTTTTCTTAAAATTCAAACACCAATTAAATACATACATAGCTATACTGTTATTATAAAAATATCAAAGAAACGTTTCATTAATATTACAATATAACAATATTTAAATGAATGTGTAAAAAAATTTGTGTTCAAGATGAAGATGTCAAAATTATCAAATCAAACAAATTCACAGGATCCGCAAGCAGTTAATTCACGTGTATTTGTTGGAAATTTAAATACATTTCAGTGTTCAAAAGCTGATGTTGAAAGAATGTTTCAACGTTATGGTAGGCTAGTTGGTAAGTTTTCAAATTTATATTTTGAATATATAGTATAATATTTTTGAAGCTGGTGTGATAAAGTCACGACGAATTTACGAAATTGCGCGATTGCCACGACGTTGCACTTCTTTGATATTCGCTTCATAGGAATATATTGAAAAATGACTACACAGGTGAGCCTGGCTATCTTCTATGATAATCTATGAGCTTTGAGGGTGTTCGTTCTTATAAGCACCGTCAAAACCGATATACTATGTATTAGTTATTGTTTGCTGAGCTCGTGTAGAGGTTTCGCCATATGCGGTGGTATGGCAATGAAAGTGTGACGTAAATGTGATTGAAATTATATAATGCTTCGAGAAGACGAATATAGTGGCAGTTTATACACGACACGCGATAGTGGGAGTTAATACGCGGCCAACCTTGGGCTGTAGGTTAATAAAAAAGAAGAGATTTTTTATTGCCTCTGTGAGTGACCTACTCTGCATAAAGTAAAATTGTTGAGCGACTCGAATATGACAGAATTTGACCTTACCAGCAAAAATATCAGAATGGGGTGGTGAACAACCATTTTGAAAGTACAATACCGATCTGGTTTTGGCGAGGGAACAGTGATTAAACTGCACATTTATGCTAATTTGAATGTCGGGCCGCCCTAACTAATCAACCAAATCACATTTTGTCGTAACTGGATATGTTGTTGTAGCTGGAACCATTACAATTTTTATTACGTAATCTTTATTTATTCTTTTGCATTTATTTTTATGTTCAACAATTTGAAAATTTTAATAAAATATGATATTTTACAGATTTTTTAATGTTATTGCACTTACAATTAAGCTAAACGGGAATTGTCTTATTCTAACATAATTATTTGATGTGTTTAACATTAATTTACATAATATAAGTATAGATAAATTTAATTAAGATTATATGAAAATTTTAGTATTTTAAATTTTAATTAAAATAAAATTTATTTATATTTTTAACAAAATATTTTTAAAATTATTTAAGTAAATTTTTAATAATTAAAATGTGAGGATTTCAATGCTATTTTAATGCTTTTGATATTTGAAAATATTTTTGATGATTTTTTAGCCGTCATGGTTTTATTTAAGTTGAAATTTATTTAATGCCCCAAAACTTATATAAAACAATATTACAAATAATTATAATAAAAATTAAAGATTCCCTCGGCGCATGAATTAAACATGTTGCTTTACATATTTTTGAGCAATTTTTGAGTATTTTTACAATTAACACATTCTTTCTTTCTCTTTAGGTGTTATAAATTTGAGAATTGTTATCATACAGTACGTTTAATTCGATAATACATTATTTTAGATAGATTTATTGAAATATTCGTTAGTTATTCATTCCCTTTCTGCATTATATCCGCATTATAGAGTTAAGTTAGAGTTATAGAGTTAAATTTTACCTTTAAGTAAATTTTAAAATATTTTGAATAAAATTTGATTTCTAAACTAAATGATTTAAAAAGGTATTCCAGCTGTTTATTTTGGTCGGGAATCTGAATATCGTAATAAATCTTACCGAGTACACTAATTTGGTTAGTGAGTTGTGCCCCCTCCCAACATAGTCGGATAATTTGGTTATCTTAAAATTATACATACTAATCTCTAAAATTATTTCTTTTATAAGCTCCCTAAATATATGCAATAAGATTTGATTATGAGTTAACATGTAGTTTTTTATTAAACTTTATTTTTATATTTTGGCCACAGAAATCCTAAATGTTTTTCAATCAAATGATCATGAAATATGCAACTGTATAAACTGTAGATTTGATGATTTCGTTTCTTAAGCATTGTTATTTTAATTATTTCATTTTCCTAAAAATCTACCTACACATATACATGCGTAATAAGTGAATAAACATCTAGGCGCTTTTCATAAAATAAAAATACTTTCAAATATTTATTTTATTAATTCAAGCGCCTTTGAAATGATTCAAAGGCGTTTCTTATATTTAAGAATTTTGAATTATTTTGGTATCTAACTATTAAAATAAATTAAAGTATTTTATATCGTAAAACTGTTCTATATTTGAATATGTAAATACATATGAGTATATTTTGTATATATAGACAGAAATTTTTCTTATTCAAATTAACATTTGACACATCAATGGTGATTCAGCTAGGTAAAAATGAAATATAAGAAAAAAAGAAAATAATTATAAATAAAAAAAAAAAATAGAGTTGACCTTGTCAACTCTGTGATACCCGTACGAATTTGTTATCGTATGTGCGAATAACTAATGTGCCATAACTAACTATGGGGCAGACTATGACTTTAAGTTGCCGTATTACCATATTAATTTATGCAAAATTTCAGTACTATGTGTTATTCAAAATACTGGTTGTGCCAAAGTACTATTGATGTTGTATGGCAGGTACCAGAAGGAGCCAAGTAATTTCAACGACTTTTATGAAACACATTGGCCCTACTAATATATTCGTTTGTGTGAAATTTCAATACCATAGCTTTAATAGTTTCTCAAATATAGTCAAATAACTTTTGAAGTTGTATGGCAGGTACCAGAAGGAGCCAAGTAATTTCAACGACTTTTACGAGACACATCGGCCCTACTAATATATTCACTTGTGTGAAATCTCAATATCACAGCTTTTATAGTTTCTGAGATATAGCCAAATAACTTTTGAAGTTGTATGGCAGGTACCAGAAGGAGCCAAGTAATTTCAACGACTTTTATGTGACACATTGGCCCTACTAATATATTCGTTTGTGTGAAATTTCAATACCATAACTTTAATAGTGTCTGAAATGTAGCCAAATAATTTTGGAAGTTGTATGGCAGGTACCAGAAGGAGCCAAGTAATTTCAACGACTTTTATGTGACACATTGGCCCTACTAATATATTCGTTTGTGTGAAATTTCAATACCATAACTTTTATAGTTTATGAGATATAGCCAAATAAATTTTGAAGTTGTATGGCAGCTACCCGAACCGGTACTCCGATCATGTCCAATTTAAATAGGGTTCTGGCACTTACTACAACAAATCATTTGTGAAAATTTGGTGAACTTAGCTCAATTAGTTTTTGAGTTATCGTTCGGACGGACGGACGGACGGACGGACGGACGGACGGACGGACGGACGGACGGACGGACGGACGGACGGACAGACAAAGCTAAATCAACTCAGAATTTGACGCTGATCAAAAACATACACTTGAGTCTATATCTAACACCGTTATTTCTTAGCGTTACAAACGGTAAGGCAAATTTAGTATACCCTTCGAACATACGTTCGTACGGGTATAATAATTATTAATTAAAAATAGATGCAAATGAATATAGAATAAAAATTAAAAGTTTTTACGAAATTTAGCGACCAGGTACTTTTAAACTCATTGACTTTTGTATTTAGCACGTTAACGGTTGTACCCGTTAATTGACCTACAAGAAAAGTAAAATACACCGTTCTAAGTGAAATATACTTTGTTATATGTAGAAAAGTACATAAGAGATTCTATTTGTTATACACAATATAACTGATAGTCTAACTGTAATGGCCAGAATATTAGTGTAGTGTAGAAATATGTAAATATATTAGCGAATCCTACTACATTTCACGTATCGTTTGAAATTTACAGAAATTTGAACACTATAGTATCCTCGTCTATAAAAGTGTTAAAATACTAAAAATATACTTAAAATGGCATTCTTATTTATTTTAAGCCAATAATATTATTGTAAATTTATTTTCTGCACTTAATAATAGATCTGTGCATTCACAAATATACATATATACATTCACAATATACATACATCTGCAAATATTTGCAAAGTAGAACGAAAATTTTCTTTGATCATTCGTTAATGATTGACGTACTTTCTAAAATAATATCCAGGCGGGCCTGGAAAATTTAGACACTTTTGTGGGGAGCATGGGGAGACCTCAGTGCACCTTCTGGGAAAGTGTGATGCTCTCGCTCGTTGGAGAGAAGGACAAATTCGTAACAAATTTTGTCACTTAAATAAAAAATTCAATTTAGAAAAAAAAGAAATAAAATTTAATTGAAACTTCTTTATATGCTTAAAAAATATTATGACTCTAACTTGTCATTTTTTTTGATAATTTAGTACTTTTTACAACAGATGGAAATGACAATTTAGAAACGATATAGCAATTTTTTTTCATCTTATCGTAATTTATTTAGGAATTTCAAATATAAATGTCTTATTTATTTATAATTAATTTTTATTAATGAAAAAATTTTTGCAATTTTGAATGTTATAATTTTGGTTTTTATATGTTTAGTAACGTCATGAATAAATAATGCGCAAGTGTTGCCGTTTTGTTAAATTGACGTTAAACATATGCGGAACGGAATGTTTTATTCGTATCTATGCATGCCCGGTTCTAACTGCGTCGGCTTCCTAGGCAGTTTCCAAAGAGTGTTTCCCTCTGCCCCGCTTTGAAAGCAAAGAATAATTTGCAATAAACACTGAACATTTGTGAGCTCAATTCATTTTCTTGTAACTTTCTCATACTGAATGAAAGATTAGTGATAGAATAGAAGCGTGGAACTAAATTATTTGGAATGTTCGAATATAGGCACATGTTATTAAATCCATTTCGGTGTAAATAGAAAAAAAAAAATTTAGAAAAGCACATAGGTACTCAAAATTTATTTTTTAAATTTAGTTTTTTTTTTTAAGTTTTTAGTGGCGCCTCTCTTTTTCGGCGCTCATTACAAATGAATACTTTTACAAATGAATATATTGAGAACGGCAAATTAGTTAAATGCAATAATTTGCATTTTTAATTAGCATTTTTCCCACCAAGTGTTTAGAATTTACGGTATACTTAACTTAAAATTCCTATGTCAAACCCTAAAATTTCTAAAACAAAATAGTTCGATATTGTTTAGTTTGAAAATCTAAAAGCAAAAGAATGAAATAATTATTGCTTCTTTGTATTTCATTAGTTTATATTCAAGGGCGCATACATGCAACTGTATGATCA